TGTTGTTATGTTTCTCTCTCTGGGAGAAAAAGTTCAAAACTATAACGATGAATCCGCCTTAACGCTTGTGTTACCCGTGAATAAAAATAAACTTGGAAATAATTTTTTTTTTGGCTATGAGTATTATACATGTGGGCTGTTCAGGACATTGTGGAAATGGACTTGGATTTTCCTTTGGAATTGCATTTGCAAATTTTATTTTAAGCTCTGTACTATAATGATGAATCCACATTAAATGTCACGCAAATGTTGATTTAACCGCCGCCTTATCACTTGCTTGAATCAATTTAAATTAATTGGCGCTTTATTTTCTAATGTCGTAAATCCTTGACACGTTTTCATTTTGGCATGCACATACATACATATTTCGCAAGTGATAACTAATGCCTTGTGCCACTTCAAGAAAAACAGCATATTTATTGTTTATTAACAGTATTACGTTGTTCGATGTATTAAATACATATTAAATTAGAAAGTCACTCGATTCTAAAAAATAAATAACCGCCTTTTTTTAAATTGTTGATGACATTAGGTTGAATCGTGCCAAGGGTAAATTTCTATTTATTGCTTTTATTCTGGCTCAGCCTTGGTTGTAAACATTTATGCTTCTATCAGCATCAGTGTCACTAGCATCAAGAATAATACAGTGCGATAGTACTTGAAACACATGGAAAAAAATATCGATGTGCACGTTAAAGGAGTTTAGCTGTAGTTGCCTACCGAATATTACAAACAGGATTTTCCTCGTGATCACGGGGTCGATAGAGCAAGCATACCGATCAACGTGTACGAGAACGCATCCGTTTAGGAAATTTTTGTGACACTTTTGCGCACAAAACTATTGAGAACGGGTTCCGAAAAATTATCGTAAAAGTATTACCTGTCGCTCAGTTTGTGGCAGCGGAACTCTCTTTTTCATCATACATTTTCAAAAGGTTTTGTGTAGTGTTTTCGACGGTGAAATCGTTTCTCAGACGGAAGATATTTCGATTCGTTTCGCTATCGACAATTTAATGAAAAGGGCAATGTTTTCGATCTGTTCGATTATCGAGAAAGTAGCGAATACGACAGTTGTTTCTACCCTAAATTTTGCAGTACATACTATGCAGATTTGAACCAGACAGGGAAAGCTAAATAAAACCGATTAGAAAAGGATAGTTTAGGAATTTAAAGAATCTGAACCTGCAAAATACTTAAATGGGATGTTATCAAAATAATCTTATAGTTTCGGAAGTTTTGATTGATCCTAGAAAATTATATTGACCTCAAACGAGAATAAATAATTTTCTTACGTGTTATTCTTTTGGGAAAAATAAACGCTCGATGTGGAACCTCATAAAATTGTCGAAGACAGAGAAGATTCATGAATGATCATTTCTATACCAAATACTAAATTTTTAGTCGGGTTTAGGTTGCATTGCAGGATTTTTTTTTTTTTACTTGAACATATCGTTAGTATAGTATGGAAAGGGCGTAACGCCGCTGAAATGCAAAAGAGGCATAACTAAAATGGTTAAACAGAGTTTACCCATCGAGAAATATTAATTTTCAAGAATTCTATACTATTTCTACGAAAAAAATGTTTTTTTTTCCCATATAAAATACATGAAAACTTTGAGCGCTGTGAGCTAGCTTTAAATCTTTTATTGGCCTTTGTGCAGTTTAGTATTCAGGCTATTCTCACGTTTACAGGAGAACGAGAATCCAAACACTTTTATTTTTCTCCATATAATTAAAGGCCACCCTGATGTACATATGTATGTATATAAGCACAAGACACAAGGGATGGTATTAAATTTGAGAATCATTTTACAAAGACGAACTCCTGGCGGTTCAATCCTTGCGATACATAAATTTCTAAGTCCATTCCATACACTATTGTCCATTTTTCTTGAAAGTTGGCTTCATATAACAGTTCTATTGGCAAAATTGAACTGCACTACATGGCTGTACATGTATGTACAGTATCGGTCATATCTATAGCACGCCATTTCAAAGTGATATTGTGTACCACTTATGTTTATTTATTGATTTTTAAGAATTTTCAATTAAAATATAGTTCATTCTCAGACAAACCCGATATAAACCCAAGCCTAATAGTTTGTAGAAAGCTACAAAAAAGTGCAACAAATTTACACATAAATTTCAAACTTTTTTCTCGGAAGTGTTAGAATTTTTTTGAGTACACAGTTTGTTAGCCCCTTCAATTTTAGTCTGATAATGTGCAAATTTAAAGTGGCTACGAGTTACCGCTTATTTTTTAGAATTTTTTTTGTCGCATTGGCTTCCATATAATGAATAAACTCAATTTATTTGTATATGGAAGAAATCCGCAACACCTTTGGCGAAACAAATTCTGTGTACTCAAAAAAATTCTGACACTTCCGAGAAAAAAGTTTGAAATTTATGTGAAAATTTGCTGCACATTTTTGTAGTTTTCTACAAGTTGTTACACTTGGGTTTATATGGGGTTTGTCTGAGAATGAACTGTATTTTAATTGAAAATTCTTAAAAATAAATAAATAAACATAAGTGACACACAATATCACTTTAAATTGGCGTGCTATAGATATGACCGACACTGTATATATGTACAGCCAATCATTAAAGTTTAGGTACAGAGAGTTTTTTGCAATATGGGCAACTGTTTTTTTTTTTTTTTAATATTTTATCTTTCGCTAATTTTTTATAAAACTATGGTTCAGTCTACAACAAAAACCCCAAAATGATTTTTGAAAAATTTTCTCCATATAAAATAATGTTCGATAATTTTTTTATGTGGAAAAATTTGCCAAAAATCAATGGGTAAGCTACCTCAACTTGCACTTGCTTGTACTAAAATCGAATGGGCCAAAGAACTGCCTACTCAATTTGTTTCTAAAGAGTGTAATTAAAAAGTGCAATATTTTAATGAAAATTTAGCAGAATTTTTTTCAATTTTGCACAAGATTTGAAAGTCTGATTTTTAGGGGTTTTGTTGTAGATTACATCATATTTTTATAAAAAAAATAGCGAAAAATAAAATATTAAAAAACACAGTAGCCAGTATTACAAAAAACTCGCTGTACCTAAACTGTATTGATTGACTGACTGTATGTATGTATTTCAAATAAATCTCAGTTAAACATCATGGGTAAAGTGCTATCCAATTATTGTTTCCCTAATGCTGTAAACAATTAAAAATCACAAGAAATGCCTTTTTATTAAAATTTTGTGACCAAAGCACATGCATTGAAATCTATTTGCATATCGTTACCTTCTTAATTCACAAAGGCCCCACCTACACTTTTTTCAAAACTGTGCTTTTCACAGATTTTGGTAGAATGTATTAAAATACACCTTCAATTACATGCCACTTTTTAAAAAACCCTACCCGTTTTTGATTCCCATTTTATAATTCGAATATTCACAACGGTGTCGTAAGTGTCGTATTGTTGTATGTCGTAAATTTTAAACGCCTAAAAATATATTAAGGGGGTTCGCAAAGTACCATCAAAGTCATATTAGAAATTTTCGCAGTGTTAAAAACTAGTTCGTTGTGGTTTCAAATTTTATAAACAATTATTTAAGTGTTTTGCTTCTTCAGTAAAATAAAAAAAAAAAAATTGTTAGGACCTTTGTGGATTAGGAAGGAAACGATATGTATGCACTTATTTTTATTTTTGTACGAATTAAAAAAATTTGGTTTTTCTAAACGGAAATTTGAAAATTTCAATTCTCCAAAAATACGAATATGCCCTAATAGATGAAATTTTTTATTGAAAAACATGAAGGCATTCGTTTTTAGAGCACTGCATATCGATGGATGAGTGGAAGATCGACCTCTCTCGGCAGCAAGTTCGAAAACGTCATATCTCAAAAAAAATAAACCGAATTCTAATGCAGGGCGTTCTTCAAACAAATTCTGAGATTGGGTGTTTTTCAATAAAATTCTGAAATAGGGCTTTCTTCAATCAAATTTTGAAGTAGAGCTTTCTTTAAAAGTTTTCTGAGATAGGGTCTTTCCGAACTGGCTGCCGAGATGGCTCGATCTTTCACTCAGCCATCGATATGCAGTCGTTATTTCCGTTAATTGGAGTGGAATATTTCATTTAAAATAATAAAATTGCTGGCTTACGAATCGAACTAAAGTCTGAAGCATGTTTTCAGGAGCCGAAAAAGCTTCGTTTCAATCCGCGAACTTTTGGCGCTAATATTAATTATAAGCACGCATGTTTATTACAAAATACTACATAGTATGTGTGTACATACAAACGTATTTATGTACATGTGTGTGCTTTTAAACATTTGAAAGCGATAACCTTTTAGTAACGCGATACCCCAATACCCCAATCACTTTATATTAGTCTCACTCGTTTGCTGCTTGCTCACTGAATAAATGATACTACTCTCAATCCAACTGTCCGTTTACGAAGAAAAGAGACAAATTGCAATAATCCCCCCTCGCGCTGTGTAATGGATACTGTGATTCAGCATCTAAAGTTTGGCAGCTGCGCTTTTGAGTGAAATTCGTGAATGCGATTGTTGGTGGTGAAGTACCAAAGCGAAGGTCAGTCGCGCTATTCATTGCAGCAACAAACACGGTGGTGGAGAACGCAAACACTTTTCAAAGAGTGACCAGTTAGCCTTCCAGTTCACTGAGTAATTTGTGCAACAAGTAGCGCTTTTAGACGTTTATCACATGTCACAATNAGGGGTGGACTGGAAAAACTTTTTTTGTCGATCCACCCTAGTGTACATACAAACGTATTTATGCACATGTGTGTGCTTTTAAACATTTGAAGGCGATAACCTTTTAGTAACGCGATACCCCAATCACTTTATATTTTCTCACTGGTTTGCTGCTTACTCACTGAATAAATGATACTACTCTCAATCCAACTGTCCGTTTACGAAGAAAAGAGACAAATTGCAATCCCCCCTCGCGCTGTGTAATGGATACTGTGATTCAGCATCTAAACTTTGGCAGCTGCGCTTTAGAGTGAAATTCGTGAATGCGATTGTTGGTGGGTGAAGTACCAAAGCGAAGGTCAGTCGCGCTATTCATTGTAGCAACAAACACGGTGGTGGAGAACGCCAACACTTTTCAAAGTGACCAGTTAGCCTTCCAGTTCACTGAGTAATTTGTGCAACAAGTAGCGCTTTTAAACGTTTATCACATGTCACAATAAGTGCAATCAAAATTTGTATCACAAAGAATAAAAAAAGTAAAAAAAAACAAGAAAACTGCAGTGCATTACTTGAATATTGTGACAAATCCAAGATGGTACTAGACTTGGAAAAGCGTACTTATCTGCTGGTGACGGGAGCTNAAAAAAAAAAGAAAACTGCAGTGCATTACTCGAATATTGTGACAAAGCGAAAATGGTAGTAGACTTGGAGAAGCGTACTTATCTGCTGGTGACGGGAGCATCTCGCGGCATTGGCCAACGTATGGCCGTGGACGTGTCTGCGAAATTGAAAGCTGGTTCTTTAATTGTGCTCTTGGCGCGTAGCGAACAGGGTTTGGCACAAACCAAGGCCAGTATTACGGCGTTGGGCAACGATTTGAATGTAATCACTTTCACGATTGATCTAAGCAGCGCCACGGCAACACAGTTCCAGGAATTACTTGCCAAATCACTGGACGGCACAAAAGNATGGTACTAGACTTGGAAAAGCGTACTTATCTGCTGGTGACGGGAGCATCTCGCGGCATTGGCCAACGTATGGCCGTGGACGTGTCTGCGAAATTGAAAGCTGGTTCTTTAATTGTGCTCTTGGCGCGTAGCGAACAGGGTTTGGCACAAACCAAGGCCAGCATTACGGCGTTGGGCAACGATTTGAATGTAATCACTTTCTCGATTGACCTAAGCAGCGCCACGGCAACACAGTTCCAGGAATTACTTGCCAAATCACTGGACGGCACAAAAGCCAGCAATTTCGAGCGCGCTTTCATCATACACAATGCCGGTTCTGTGGGTGATGTATCGAAAAGCGCCATAGACGTGTCGGATACCACGGTCTGGCAGCAGTACTATCACATGAATGTATTCTCCGTGATCTCACTGAATTGTGAATTTTTCCGTGCATTCAATTGTTTGCCCAAAATTGTGGTAAATATCAGCTCAAAATGTGGCATTGAACCATATGCTTCAATGAGTTTCTATTGCTCCGGCAAAGCAGCAAGAAATATGTATTTCCGTGTACTAGCCACGGAGCAAGCTGATGAAGATGTGGTGGTTTTGAACTATGCGCCAGGTGCTATCGATACAGATATGACAGTATTAGTACAGCGTGAAAGCATTAATAAAGAATTGGCCGGCTTCTTTAAGATGCAAAGAGATACAAAAACAATGTTGACTACAGAACAAACAACGAAGAAATTCTTACTGGTGCTAGAGGCGCAAAAATTCAAATCGGGTGACCACGTTGACTATTGGGATGAGTGAGGAGGGTTCGCAGTTTGAGCGAAGAAGCGTAATTTATATGTTAATATAATACCAAGTGGCACCACCACTCTCCAAGTCTCAAACTTCAATCTGGAAATTTTACAAATATGATTAGTAAATCCTTTAAAACTGTTATTATCAATTTACTTATGTACGTAATGAATATTATTATGGGGAATAGGCAATATATTTAGCTGATCCACAAAGTTTTGTATTGTCCTATTTTGGAAAGTTTTTTTACACGGTTAAATATATGTATGTATGTTTAGAGGATTCTAAACCACAACAGAGTTTTTTAATAGTGAGAAAACTTATAATATTACTATTATGATACTTTGCAAACCCCCTAAATATATTATAAACCGTTAAGAAGTTTACGACACACAACAATACCACGCTAAAGACACCCTTGTGAATTCCGCAACTGATATTGAACTTGATACCAATATATTATTATTAACAATTTGCTTTTGTACAGATACATAATATGTACTACTGTATTTGCGAATGTTTTTTTTTTTAATTTTATATGGATACTTTTTATTGCGCTACAAATTAATTTGTTGTTATAACTACATATTAGCAAAACTATTGCTACATACTTTTTAGTTGGTTATAATTTTACCAACAACCATCAATATGCCAATGCATATACTCACATCTTTGTGCGATTGTGTAAAAATTTGGCTGCTTCCATAAGCGCTAGTAACTAAACAAAGGGTGCATTCCAAAACGTCAAAATACAAAGCATCAGTTTCTTTTTTTCCAACCCGCACTAGAAGAAAAAGTCTAACCTGCGCAACCTAGTTGAAAACGTGGTTGCCCACATTTTGGCATTACAATCTACTGAAATTTTGAAATAAAAGAAACTGATACTTTGTATTTTGACGTTTCGGAATGCACCCAAACTCACTTCTCTTAATCTACCAAAATATCTCTCCATTTAAAAGAAATCCGATGCTCGCAATCGTTTCGTAGGAATTTTCAATAGATCATCAGTGAGTGTGGACTTTCCGCTACTGATCTGTTTTGGTGTGTTCGGTGCTGAGGTGCTTGTGCTTGCACTACCCGCTGGCGTTTTGCGGGAATTCATAGCTTTCGATGTTGGTTTGGCCCTCCGCATTACTGCTCCAGGTGTCCGCTGCGGCGTGGGCATAATTGGTGTTGTGCCTATGCCTAATTTAGAGGTTGCTAAACGTCTTGCCGCCGGTGACATTGAAGCCAAGCGTTCCATGTTCGAACGTATGAAAGGCGAGTTGATATTCTTACGTGCTGTGTCAGCCGCCCTTTGCTTCTGTGCACGCATCTTTTCACCCACTTTTTCTGCCAACGCGATCGCAATGTTTTCACGTCGCGAATTTTCGGTGATGGTGAAAGCTGGTCCTACATTAGGACGTACTGGCGTATCAGAACCATCGAGTCGAAAGGGTGTACCTTCGATTTCTCCCCATGTCATGAGCGGTGAAAACGCTTCCCCTGGTCGTGGTGATGGCGTCTTCACTAAATTAAACCCACGAATCTGCGGCCCCTCGCCTTCCTCACCTAGCGTTATGGCATTACCATCTAGTCCAATTTTATTAATTAGCGCCTGAGATTGGTTTTTAGCTAACTCATTGTTTGATTTAGGAGTAGCAGGCTCAACAAAAGGATTACTGCTAAGTCGTGTGGCACTGTGCTGTATTATTTCCCGCTGCTTGGCAGCTTCCACACGTTCCTTTTCAGTAAGTTCTACACCATCAGGTATATACATAATAGAGTTTTTGTTTGTGTAGCTCCATGTTTCAATCTGTAAAAAAAAAACAGATTTAGTACCCTTTAAGTGCTAAATATGAATACACAGTCAAAGGGATTTAATAGTATTTGTTTTAAAAAACCTTTCGCAATGGATCTGGTTCCTCAAACTGCTTTTGAATGGATGGTAGCGTTAACGCCCGCGCCAACTTATCAGCCGACAGTTTTTCTTCATTATACAGTACAGCAAATTTTTGTCGTAGTTTTTCATCGGCAGTATCGATAATTTCTTGAAAACTATGGTTATCTTCGCTTGTGTAATGCTGCAGAAAAGAATCCAATGAATGCTTATCCGCTACAGACTTTGGTTCCGTTCCAGTTTTTGACGCTTTCGAGCAGCTGGATATAGCTGACTTCGGTGTATCCGAGGCAGCACCACTGCCCTCAAGACGCGGTGTCATAATACCAGTTGCACTTGCTGGTGTCTCAAATGTGGCCGGCGACATGGCTGTGGATAAAAATGTTAATTAATATGTACATATGCATACTTTAATTAGCGTTTATTCTTATACTTACAGCCTCGATCGGTGGGCCTGCGCCCACTATACTTGGCACGTATGGCCTCCATTTGTGCGTAATCTTTGCGGTCCATCGCATCGAGGTAGTCATTTTGTGCACGCAATTTATCCAAGTGTGGAAAGAAGTCACGTTGTATAATTTTGGAAAGCTCATCAATGTACATTTCCTCTGTTAGTATCTTCTGTTTGGTTTTCTTGCGCACTGCCCCAGCGGTAGGCACTTTAAAGTCTTGCAGTGTGCTGTCACGTTCCTTCAGTTTCACAAGTGCTTGACTCCCAGGCGTTTTTGGGGTAGGTGGTTCACTCATTATGGCGTTTGCCTTATAATATGGCTTAGGCTAACAAGAAATTGAAAATTGAAGATTTTATATACAATAAAGGCTTTGTATACGATTAAACTAATTTCGCACTAACTAGCGGCCAGCTGATTTTGACGTTTCAAGTGCTGCCAAGTGTTCGTATACACGGAACGGAACGGAAGCTGTTGTGGATGGTATTTAGCACACATCCTAAATTTTTGGCGGGAATTGCTCTTGTATTCCTATTTTCGTGTCGTAAAAATATTTAAAGTGAAAATATTATTGCAAAATAAGACTTCGTTAATTTTTGCCGGTTATTTGTTTGCCGCCGCGTCGCATTAATAATTTCAGAAATGGCTCAATTTGTGGGTAAGTCTTCTTCACCATTAACTTTGTTACATACGTGTGCTTTAACATTTCATTAGTTTAAATCGTGCATTAGGAACTTAATAACATTTTTGGTAGCTTTTAAATAGCTGTAATTGCATAGAGTTTCTTCCTTTTTGTTATTTTTTTGCAATGATAAGCGAGCACCTTTGTCAATGTCAAGTCGTTGCCTGATCTCGACATTGTTGTTTAAGCATCACCTATAATGGGTATTATAAGGTATCACATTTTCATCTTCCGACTAGACAGGACGTATATAGTGGGTAAAGGCTGACGACAGAAAGGAATACCAATAAATAATTCGTCTCAAAGGAGTCTTTTAACCATTTGTGCGGGTTTGTTATATTCCGCCGTTGTTTGGTGGGAAGAGGTATACATATGTATGTATGTAGGTAACGCTCGCATCTTTTTTCCGACGAAAAACATAAAAATAATTTTTTACAGTACAGTGTTTTTAAAACAGTTTTCTGATAAAATAAAGAAATTCCTTTGTACGACAATTTGTAAAAAATCAACAGGAATTCCTAGCTTATTGAAACTTGCCCATTATTAGTTGCGCTCCAGATGCTTCACGATTTGCAGGTTTGCAGGAACAGCTGTTTTCGCCATTTTTATACCTTATGCAAGGTGACCACCTGGAACAGCTCGCTGTAAAAACCTGCAAATCGTGAAGCATCTGGAACGCAACTATTACTAGAATTTAATGGGCTAGAAAACTGCATACTTTGAACTTTTCTAAAAATGAATACAAAGTTTGTTGTAAGATTTTTAAATTTCTCTACAAAGTTTAAAATGTGGATTTATATCTCTGAATTTACATACATATGTATATATATAATTAACAGAACTTTAATAAAAAATTAATAAACATTAAACAAGCGAAAGAAAAATAGTCGAAGCTGACCAAAATGTCGTGCCATGTCGTGTCGTGTCTTTTCATATGAAAGTATATACAGTGGGGAGCAAAAATGTCAATTTTTTTTTTTTTAATACATTCACTGATGTTTGATTGAAGCATTTTCTATGCTATTCCTAAAACAGTTTAAATCAAAGTTTTAAACCAAAGAAATTTTTTTTTTTCATTATATTTTTTTTAACTCTTTGATATGAATTTGTAAAATTTAACAAACTGCTGGTTTCAAGACTAAAAAATGCTTTGATTCAAGATTTTTTTGCTGATAGTCTTTTTCAGTTTTTCGATATAAATAGATATATGTATGTATGTATGTACATATTTTATGGAATAAAATGCGCAAGATTATTTTCAAACATACATTTAATCTGCGCAAATTTTCATAATATACATATGTACGTATGTATTTATATTTTTTACATATGAAAACAGTAAGCGCGATTTTTAGTCTTAAAACTTGCACTCAGAAGTATTTTGCAAATTCATATCAAAAATTTGAAAATTTAATGAAAATTTTAAGTTTTTCAAAATTTTTCTTTTGTTTAAAACTTTGATCAAAGCTGTTTTAGCTATAGCATGGACAATATTTTAATCAAAAATCAAAGAAAAGGTTTAATATGAAAAACATGTTAACATTTAAAATAATAGCCATTTTGACATTTTTGCTCCCCACTGTAAATGCATTTTTATAACGCGTTTCCACGAACAATTCGCTAATATCATGTTTTACGGGAGTCTTATCCGGACACACAATAAAAATGCCGGCTTAATTAGCGGGTACGCACGTGGAACCGGCGCACAATGGTCCAAAACTAGAATTGCTATTCAAAATAGTCCGGAGCATGTTGAGCCTGATTTTAGAAGTTTTATTTTATTACATGAAATTTTTTAGCGAAAAGTGCAGAAAAAGTAGCAATTTTGAAGAAAATCGACTATCGTGTTCCTGGTAATGAATGTTAGATATTAAAGACTATTTGAAAACAACTAGGATTTCCACAAAACATTTTATGTATGTATGTATTTGGAATAAAATTCCTAGCACCGTCATAAAAAAAAAATATTAAAAACCAACGCGAATTCTTAGCCAGTCGAAACTTCTTCTCATATATAAAATTTAATGACGTATAAAATTGCATACCTAAAGTTAAAAAAAAAAAAAATAATAATTTTTGGTGGCAATTTTTTTATAACATTTCAAACTTTGCTTGTGATTTTTTTCATTTCATTGTTTTGAACTAGTCTTTACTATGTAACATTTATTAACAGGATGATAGATTACCTACTCTCCTTGTACCTAGCGCTAAAAACTTAATAAACAAATAGGCTTCTACATATTAAAAAAATATATATGTATATATATATATCAAATCGGTTTGAAAAATGAAGGTTTTGGACGGTTTTGAACAGTAAATTCCAGTTTTGGACCAGTGTGCGACGACGTTTTACTCACAACCGTAAGGGCGCCGCGAGTTCGCTTACTATGTTACTTTCTTGTTGTTGTTGCAGCGGCTACACAAATCGTTGTCGTCAAACTCAACTAACAGAAAACCCAGGTAGCGTGCAGTTTCTATGGGGTTGGTCCATAGGGACAGAGGCGTTAGCTGAGTGAGGTTAAGTTGGCATGTGAAGAGATTTCTCGAGTCGTAGAGTGTGTCTCCGCATGCCGTCCACTCGTTGGGCACATCTGCATCTAATCTGTTCAGGTACGAGTTTAGGCAATAAAGCAGACGAAGATCTCTCTCATCCACGTCGGGTGGTTGTGTTTCCAAAACGGCATTCACGGGTCTAGAGTCAGTGTAGGTCGGTACTGATACCCTATGAATACCGTCTATGGCCTGTCGGGTCCGGAGGTTGCTTTATGAATCTGTGGACTTCGTCCGTCAGTTCGTATAGATGCCTTCCGACGTGCCTTGGGGAGGGCTCCGGCGCAAGCAAGTGTCTGTTCGGGTGCCTACGTCGGTGACACCCTACTAGGAATTGCTTACAGAGCTTATGTTATGCTCTCTAACGGGGAAAGTTCGGAGAGGTAACCGTTTACGTTCGAGCACAAATCATCAATTCCATTCCCAGACGCCATTCTCAAGCAGTCGTCAGCATAAGAGATAATCGAGACACCCTGTGGAGGCTGAGGGAGCTTTGAAATGTAATAGGTTGGCAGTAGCAGGGAAAGGACACCACCGCGTGGGACCCCTGTGTAATTTTTCTTGGCTTGCTTGCTTTGTCTCTAAAAGTAATTGACGAGGGTCGACCACACAGATAATTCGCCGGGAGAGAGGAAGCCTCAATGTCTTCTAGTACGTGGAGTGACTGACGGTGTTAAACGCTTTTGACAAATCCAACGCTACTAGGACTGTTCTCTCAAAGAGGCGGTTTCGGTTTAGGCCACGTGTATCTGAGTGTTTATGGCGTTAAGTGCTGTTGTTGTGCTGTGCACTTTACGGAACCCATGCTGATGCCTCGCTGGGGACAGGTGGCTCGTGTAGTGTGGGAGTAGTAAGGCCTTTAGTGTCTTCGATACCGGAGAAAGGAGGGTTATTGGACGACAGAACTCTCCCTTGTTGGCCCATTTTCCATATTCCGTCGAATCCCATGGCTTTGGAGGCTTTTGCCTTCTCGATGGCTACCTGAAAATCGCCGCTGGTGAAAGCAAGATGTGCAGCCTTCTGATGACGACGTATCGCTTTGTCCACCCAAGGATGCAGTGTGAACTGTCGGCTAAAATAGCTCTCGCATCGCTCCGGCTCCGGCGTGGTCGCCGAAAGAGATTTTGACTCTGTCATCACGCTTCATCGGGCTGGACAGTGACTACACGGTTGACCAAAGCTTACTCACACCAGAGGTGAAGTTGCAAGTCTTCAGGTTGTCTTTCCACTTTTCCCGCTTATGTACGTTTACAAGTTCCCGAATCGCCGTATTAAGATCCCTAATGCGGGGATTGCCGGGGTCAGCCTGACGAAGGTTGTCACGCTCATCAGCTAGGACAGCCGCTTCGGCGGGAAAATTCGAACGAGGGTCCGAAATACATCAGGCTGGGATGACAGTATTGAATTGCTGTGCAACTTGTCTCTTGGACCGCAGCTATTAATATTCCATGCCGACCCACAAATACGGTTATCTCCTAGATCTTACTATGTCCCGCTATGGAATATCCTGGTCGGACCCACCGAGCAGATTGCTGCAGGAACAACTCCTGGTTGTGGGCGGCGGCGTGTGGGTGGTAGTGCGGTTATGTCTGTGGTGTGGTCTATTGTGTTGTGTTGTGGTACGGTCGTGTTTGTGTTGAGATGCTCAGGCGGACTCGCCGGGGAAGCAGCTCTGTTTGAACAGCAAGGAGCCACGTATGACATGGTCCATTGCCGATGAGTCCTTAGGCCTGAGAAGGCTCGGAGGTGACTTCACCCGTTACAGGTATTACACCTGACTGAGGTGGAGTTTGGATGCAGTCGCGTCTGGCACACGCAGCAGGTGTAGGTTTCTGGCTAAGGGTTTGACTAGATATCAGCGCTGAGCAGAAGAGTGCGGAGCGGATGTAGTCTAATGGGGTTAGATCGCCGACACAACAGCCTTTGGTCGGGTAAGGTCTTATCGAGCGCTAAAGCCCACCGTGAATGAAGTTATAGGGGCACTTGGGATTTACAATCGACTTCAGTTGGAGCAGAATATAAATTACATAATGGCATGCTTTATTGGCCGCGGCCAAAATCACTTGGGGGGTTATGGATCCAAACAAACAGAAATGAGAAAACCAGCTGCAACGCAAAAGTATAATTTCTTGATTGGGCATTGCAATTTTTCAACATGGCACCAAACGAAGTTC